TCGAGGTTGGAAGTGGAAGGATAAATTAAAGAGCCAATGCAGTTTAAAGTAACGCCTGATAAGTTCTGGCTCACATTATGAGTCTGCAAAAGATTAACATTGAAAAAATTCATGTAAGAAACCATGCAGCAAATTGTGAACGCTTTATATCTCATTCCAACTTATTTTGCTCCCTATTCAAGAAATAAGAGTTCCCACAATGTGTCGAATGGCATATACACACGTTAAGAATATTAAAAGATTTATACCTAAACATCATATTAAAGTCTATGTTAGAGGGAGAATATAAAGCATAAATGATACAAAAAATTAAATAAAACATATACCTCTAAATATGACCGTTCGACTCTTTTTCTTAAGGCACAAATCGAGATACCTGGACCGAAAATTTTGCAGGATGGAAAGTCGGTCGCTCTTCTAAAAAAGTGCAAATCAGGACATAGCCTTTTACAATCTTTGTTAATCTGCATTAGAATTTCGTTGTCTTTAAAAAATTCTGCCCAGTCACTGTTGGGTGATGAGTTAAGGGGCTGAACACATGGGTAAGGTGCTGTTCGAAATTACATGATCAAAGGTCTCCTTTTCCTTCCAACATGATTCGGTAATAAAGTCTTTAACATAAGATGAATATTCTTTCCGACATCGTTTTAAGTGTTCTGGCCATTTTGCTGTGTCTGGGGGCAGGTAGTTTAACATAACCTGGAGTTTGAAACAGTCAGTGTACCTTCCACGACATTGAGCGTAATCCCGAAGAGTCTGGACAACCATCAATGCAGAATTCTCTTAAAGCGCCAAGATCAATGATCCTTTTACTCAATATTAACTCTAAATTATCCGATCTAATCATAGGGGGTAAAAGTAAACATACCGAGAGAGAGGCATCCCAGCAAGGCTACAGCATTCAAGATAATTGGATTGATTTTAATATGATCTCTAATAAAATGAATAATTTTAAAAAAACGCTATAGAAAAAAGTCATATAAACTGGACAGTATAATTTTATTTATAATAAATAGTGAAGTAATTTTCATTAAAGCATTCTTTTTATCTAAATTATTAAAAACGTACAATAAGGTGTCGGCATTATTGAACGTGGGCGTGACTTTACTATCCATGCGAATTTTGTCCCACCACATTGGCTTTTATGATTATCAGCCCTCCACCTATTCTTGCCTCTGTGTGTCAGAATCTGGATTTATAGCTGCTGGAAGGTGTGATGGGTCTCTTGAAGTATACCAAGATCTCGGAGACCTCTTTCTAATCTCTCGGATTCCTCCCGGTATATTGTGCTCTGTCGAATCTCTTGCATGGCTGGACAAGCGGCTTTTTACATGTGGCGGATCAGGTGCTCTTTTGGAACTGAATATAAAAAATGGCCAGATTAAGGTTTGTGCTGATTCCTTTTACATTAGTCCCAAATACAACTGACAGGTGGTCAAGTCGCACGCTCTTTGGTGGCTAGCAGAAGGCGTTTGATGGTATTTTCATCTTTAACTTGTATTTCCTAGGTTGGAAATGATGGTGGCTATATTTCTGTAATTCATGCTACAGAATCTGAACTTGAGTTGGAAAAAACGCTACCCAAATTGTGTGGTAACTCCGCTTTCATCCATTTTACATTTTTATTAAATTAGGCAAGGTACTTTGCTTGGCATTGCACAAGAACCAGCTCGCTGCTGGCAGCAATGATGGTGTTCTGCGTGTGTTCAATTGGAAAACGAGCACCATACTTCATTCATTTAATTTAGATTCCTGCGATAAATCTAATAAACCCATCATTTGGTGTCTTATTTTCGCCAGGTGCGCGTCTTGTTATTCTTTATGGATGCCTTACGAGACTATTCTTTATGTAGCTTTTTCCGTGGCAGCACTTATAGGCAAATCTTCCTTATCCTTGTAGAGATCTTCTATTCTCTGGAGATAGCACTGGAACCTTAGGAATATGGAATGTCGACGTCGGAGGTCTGCTCTTT